ATTAATGTTAATTTTAATGTCTTGCTTTGGTTTTTTATTTGAAGATCGGAACAATATTACTTTTGTTTTAGTAGTATTTAGAGATAACTTTTTCGCATTTAACCATTCAGCAACTTTATTAATTCAATTTGCATAATCTTATTAAGTGTTTTTAGACACTTGTTACTATAGAATATATTAGTGTCATCTGCAAATAATATAAATAAAATTAATTTGCTACAATTTTAAATATTATTGATATAGAGAAGAAATAAAATTGGTCCAAGAATTGACCCCTGTGGGACACCACTTTTAATTATCATTGCTTTTGATTTAACTTGGTTATATTTAACAATCTGTTTTCTGTTTTTTAAGTAATCTTCAAACCACTGTCTTGTTATTCCGCGTATACCATAGTGTTCTAGTTTTTGAATCAGAATCTTGCGATTAATTGTGTCAAAGGCTTTTGACAAGTCGAGGAAGATACCTATTGTGTATTCTCCTTTATCGATTGCTTGGGTGATTTTGTCAACATGTTCAATGATTGCAAGTTTAGTAGATCTATTTTCCTAAAACCATACTGATTTTGTGTTAATATTTTATTTTTTTCTATGTGGCTAATTAACCTCTTATACATAAGCTTTTCCAATAATTTAGAAAAACAAGTGAGAACAGCTATAGGCCGATAATTCTTAAATTTATTGTTTTCGTTTGCTTTGAAAATAGGGGTAACTAGAGCTATTTTTAGATCATCAGGAATAGTTCCAGAAAGAAAAGTCAAGTTAAATATGTGTGAAAGTGGTTCAGAAATTTCTGTAGCAATCATTTGATTACCTGTGAGCTTATACCATCATATCCAGGGCTTTTTTTGGAATTCAAACTATTTATCTCATTTTCTAATTCATCTTTAGTTATTGGATTAATAAAGAAGCTTCCTTTACAGCTATTAGTGAGATATTTATCAAAATTTGTTGTGCTATTCCAAAGTTTTTTCGCAAGTCCTGGGCCAATATTTACAAAATAATCATTGAATCTATTTGCTATTGATTTTGGATCGGTAATTTTTTCTCCAGGACTATTTCCAATAAATTCCTTTGGTAACATACTACTTGTTTTATTTCGATTCATAATTTCATTTAATGTTTTCCAAAGTACCTTTGTATCATGTTTATATTTTATTAACTGTTCTTCGTAATGTTTCCTTTTTGACGCTCTTATTATATGATTTAGTTTATTTTTATATTGTTTGTATATTTTTTCCTTTTTTTCTGTAGGGCATTGAAGGTATTTTTTATATAACTTTTTCTTTTGCTTAACTGATTTTGCAATACATTTTGTCATCCATGGGCTTCGGGTTTTGTCAATATTTCTTTTTACTACTTTTCTTCTTAATGGGAAGTTTTTTTCATAGGCTATTGAAAGTAAGTTAAAGAATTCATTGTAGGACTCTGCCGTGTTGTTTTTAGAAAGTACATTATCCCACATGATACATTTTCCCAATTATCTTCAGTTATAGCTCTTGCTGCCCTATTTTGAAGCTTTTGAAGTTTCAATTGCAACTCTAGTTTACAATTTTGCCATACTATAAAGAGCAATAGTCAAAATATGTCTGCACAAGAGCATTATAATGGGGTCTAATATAGTTTCGCGGTCTAATATAGATTTAGCTATATTTTGAGGTCGGATTTCGGTTAGATCCAGTTATTTTGTACGGTTTGCGGTTAACTGGAAATCGTGCGGAGACGGAAAATGTCAAAATTAACCCTCCGGATTCGGTTATTGACAAAAATAAATAGCGGTTTTCGGATAGTTTTTAACATGCGGTTAAGAAATGTTTTACGAGCTCATGGCAATAATTCAGTTCATGGCATTCATCTTCCAATCACGCGTGTGTGTTGTTCCACAGCAACCTCGTACCCAGGGCTTTTTTCCGCGGTTGAATGGTCAGCGAAAAAGGCCGTGACTTCGGCTGGTCTGTTTTGTAACCTGATTGGTCAATGATTTTGAATGTAATTATTCAATATATGTGGGAATAATGATTATTTTGGTGGAACGAGAGTGGAGTGACAAATTTATAATTAGTTCTCGAAGGACTAAAGTATTGAGCAAATAAGATTTTTGACATATACCTTGAGATACAGCATGAATTAGGTAAAGACAATACATCATAAAACAATTTGGTCCAAATTATGCCTTTGTACATTTTGTCAGACGAGTATTTGCTTCGGTTCAACATACGTTGCTTACATGCGTTGTTTACACATCGTTGATTTCAAGCAATGTACAGCATTATAGTCAAATAAAGATTGTGATACGAACATATTTGCTCATATTAAACACGATTTATATAAACCAAACGCTGAAGCGGTTTTGTTTTGTTTTGTTTAGTTACTTATTAAGTTATGTTTAAAAGTCATCAATATTACGGGATATGTTGCTGAATAAGGTGTAAACAACGAAAACCGAATAAAGTCATCTTATTTTGTTGCTTTCTCTTTGATTATATACGCAGCATTGAGT